ATTGTAACTCCTTTTTTATTTTTGAAACTTTAATAAATATCTTATAAAAAAAATCAAGAAAAAAAAAGAAAGTGAGCTGGCTCCACTTCCATTTTTCAAACTTTGCACCTCTGAAATGCGGTGAGAAGAAGCCTCAGACTACTAGCTGTCTTGCAGAACCTTGAAGCAGGAATAAGCATGAATAATAATAATTTATTTTTATTTTTTCCTTGGCTCACTCTTTTTATTTATTATGAATAATAATAATAATAATAATAATAATTTTATTTATATCCCGCCCTCCACAGCCGAAGCCAGGCTCAGAGTGGCTAACAACAGTAAAAATAACACAGTTTACATAAAATCACAATCAATTAATCAAAATACATTCTAAAATCAATTCATCCTAAAATCAATTCAGAGTCAAATTAATGGCATACATTGGGCTGGAGTTCTATGAGGATTGCAGAAGGAGAGAGGGGGTCAGACTGTGCCTTGGCCAAAGGCCTGCCTGGTGGAACAGCTCTGTCTTGCAGGCCCTGCGGAAAGATGTCAAGTCCCGCAGGGCCCTAGTCTCTTGTGACAGAGCGTTCCACCAGATCGGGGCCACAGCCGAAAAAGCCCTGGCTCTGGTTGAGGCCAGCCTAACCTCCCTGCGGCCCGGGTTCTCCAAGATGTTTTTATTTGAAGACCGTAAGGTCCTCCATGGGACATACCAGGAGAAGTGGTCCCGTGGGTACGAGGGTCCTACAGCTAAGAAAGCTGGCTTTCTTGATTTCAAAATCACCCTAAGAAGCCAGAATCACAGTGGGAAAAAACGAATAAACAAACATGGATGTAATATGTCCGGGAGGGGGCAGAGGGACTATGGACACACCTTACATTGAAAGCACATGATTTCCTCCAAAGAATATGGGGAACTGTGGTTTCTCTATCCTGCCGCTACGATTCCAAAGACATCAATCCCCAGGGTTCCTGGGGGTGAGAGGTCTTAAACGTGTTTTTAATGTATGAACCACATTCGTAAAGGTAAAGGGACCATTAGGTCCAGTCGTGACCGACTCTGGGGTTGTGGCACTCACCTCGCTTTACTGGCCGAGGGAGCGTTTGTCCACAGACAGCTTCTGGGTCATGTGGCCAGCATGACTAAGCTGCTTCTGGCGAACCAGAGCAGCACACAGAAACACCGTTTACCTTCCCACTGGAGCGGTACCTATTTATCTACTTGCACTTTGACATGTTTTCGAACTGCTAGGTTGGCAGGCGCAGGGACCGAGCAATGGGAGCTCACCCCGTCACGGGGATTTGAACTGCCGACCTTCTGATCGGCAAGTCCTAGGCTCTGTGGTTTAACCCACAGTGCCACCCACGTCCCACTATGAACCACATTGGCAGAGCCCAAAAGAGAGGACATGGGTGTGGGGAGAGCCAAATAATTTTAGTCTCATGAGCTTTCCTGCTGAGTTCCATAAGGGCAACATGGAGACCAAGCAGAAGGATGCAGTGACGCCCCCCTGGACCTGTTGCAAGTAAAAAGACAGTCAGGGGTGGACTGCCTGAGGAAGTACTGAACTTGGGGACCAGGGCATCATCTGCCCTGGTGAACTAGCCTAAACTGTGTTCATTCCACCTTAATATTCCAGTTATATGCTACATATTTTGTATTCATCCCATACCCTTTCTTAAAATGTAATGCGTACCCTTCAAAAAAAAAACACGCACACACCCAAAAAACCCCAAGGTAACTTTTAAAAACTAGTTTGTTGAGGAGCAGAGAGCTCATTTTATAATCCAGAAGGACTTACTTGCAAACTATGTGAATTTGTAACAAATGGAAACATGAAAAGAAAATGCTTTGCTGAATAAGGAAAAACCACGCGAGACACCAATTTCACATTTGCTTTGTGTCTGTCAGCAAAGAAGCAACAAGAAGAAAGCGAAATTTGTGAAGACACAGAGGGAGTGAGGGCGTGCAAAAGGCTTACAAAATAAGAAAATGCTAAATGTACAAAATGGAAACAAAGTTAACACACAAAACAAATAACTGTGTCAATAACTGACAAAAGGCAGATGTAAAAAGAAGTGAATTAAACCAGGAGCAGGTAAGGCAAATAGATCTGCTTTTGCCAATTTGGTGCCCTCTAGATATTTTGGACTACAACTGTCATCAGCCCCAGCCAGCATGCACTCCTAAACAGAGCATATTGGACAAAATATTTAGTGGTGCACAGTTACTTGGAATTCCTCTGAATTGACTACTGGAGTCAAAGGTACTTTCTCCATGTGCTGGAGCATCGAAAAAGACCAGACTCTTAGTCCCTTTCCGCACATTACTCCAGCTAGTGCTGGTTGGTAAGACTTTAAGAGGGTGGGGGAGTGTTTTGAAGACCAGAGAGGGCTTGTGGTGAGCTTATTTTCCAAATATCAAATAGACTTGGAATCAAAGCTGAGTTGGTGCCAATTTTCTCTGGCAATTTCTGAGCCAAGACAACAGGATAGGGAAGTTCACCCATCCCTAGAAAAACGTAGGGTATGCAGTCCCTAATTGTGCCGTTGTAAAATGCTCTCAAGAGGAATGTATGGCATGGAGAAGGTTAAAGGTGCATTTGCCTAGTTTCAAATGTTCACAATGTTGGTTACAATAACCTGCACTGCTCATTCTTACTAAGTGCATTGGCTTAGAATTGCTGGCTGTGCCATCAATCTCCTTGAGATCTTCTTCAGGACACACAAAGCTGATCATCTTAACTTGGATGTATGATCCGGTTGTAGCCCATCCTTCCCAAACCATCTTATAGTTGACCCACCACTTTGTAGTTGATTAAAGAAAACCCATACCAATGTCCTCTCTGCGCTAAAGCAACACTAATCAGTTCAGGAAGGAGCTATGTGCCTTTCAGGTTGAGATGACTTTCGTGGATGTAATTGCGGGCAATTGTCTAGATAATGCATTCTCTATTCACTTCTTGCGAAAGCTAGAGCTTCATTATTGTCTCAGGAACCTTGCAAGGATGAGCCATTATTGAGATTGCATTATCCTTGATCCACTATCAGAGTCTTCTTCCTTGACGATCACTCGTAGCCGAGTAAGACTGTCTTCCATGAACACGGTCTTAGCAGTGAGTCCATAAGTGACTGTGGGGGCCAATTCTGGATCCACACATCCTTCCACAGTGGGGACATAGGTTTCTGGATGGGAGTTGGTCACGGTGAGGGTTTGCCAAGCGTGCCTTCCTCTTAGCACATTTCTCCCTTTCATCCTGAGTTCCAGCATCTTCAAAGCCCATGACACCTTTGGCAAAGGCTGTTCTCCAATTGGAGCACTTGCAGGCCAGTATTTCCCAATTGTCAGTGTTTATAATACTTTTTTTAAGATTTGTCTTGAGAGTCTTTAAACCTCTTTTGTTGACCACCAGCATTACACTTTCCATTTTTAAGTTTGGAATAGAGTAGTTGCTTTGGAAGACGATCATCAGGCATCTGCACAACATGACTAGTCCAACGAAGTTGATGTTGTCCCAGGAACCTTGCAAGGATGAGCCATTATTGAGATTGCCTTTTCCTTGATCCGCTATCAGAGTATGCATGTTTTCTCCTTAGACTAAACCACTTGAAGGCAATTTATTGGAAGCCAAAATGATTGCGGGGGAACAACGACAACTTGATATTTGTGCATCCCTAACTATCGTATCACAAGGCATTAGCATGCAGAGTTGCAATTGCTTCCTTCCATTTTCCTCCCTGTTTTTTCACTCTTAGTTGGCTGGATAATTTCTGAAGTTTGTTTTCTGACTGCGTGTGGATCCAAGAAGAAAAAAAAAGAATATTATTCTGTGTGCCAGTATGCTGAGAACACAAAGGATCCTGAACAGAAGGATCCTACTTTCAGTCCACTTAGCAGAAGTTTAACATGCTGGATAACATCTTGTATTGTTTGGATTAAATCCATCATTAAACATAAATGAGAATAAAAGACTGCAATACACAAATGTTCAAATGCCAAATGGAAACTTATATGGGGAATCTGTCACCATCTGGACTCTATGTGGAAATGAAAATATGCCCATTTATCAAATTATAACTTCCACACATTTTCACATCAGGATGTTGATTCAGATCCAATGGATTTCAGTCCCTAAAGTAACTTTAGACAGTTCATGGTCAGAAAAGATGTCACATAGACCCCAAGGATGATGAAATCATTCCAGAACTATGGATGCATACAGGTTACACAGGTCCTGTATGAACAAAATAATAGAATAATAGAATTGAAGAGTCGGAAGATACCCCAAGGGTCAAGCAGTCCAATGTCCTGGTGCCTTCCCAGTTTGTGGACTACAACTAGCATCATTCCATCATTCCATTCATTCATTCTTCAATAAAATCCAAGCCCCTGATGTTCCCCTAGCAATGTGGGAAGGAGTTGTACAATAGTGGCTCTCATACAGCCTGTGTGATGTGAAAGGAGACCTAAGACCTTATTTATTTATTTATTTATTTTACATTAAAATTTATATTTGAACTGATTTGTTTTTTTACCAAAGACTGATTTTTTCCATCCTAGTAATGAAACTATTCCGTTTCAGTCTAGTATTGTATTTAAAAGGCGTCTTCTATTGACTGACACCTATTAAACCAATACTACATTGCTCAAGGAGGTATTGAGACATCAAACTGCATTGTACAGCATCACATTTCATACTTTGAAATGGCACTTAGGAACACCAGAGGGGTTACCTTGTTCTTGCTCTTTAATAAGAATGAGGAAACATTGTCACAGAACAGCTGCACAAATTCATTTTCTGAGACCATTTAATCCCCTTCTCCTCCCTGGGCTCTGTAAAGCCATTGGCTGCCTCTCTCCTCAAGCTGTCCTTCGACGCTCTAATCACTGTAAGTCGTAAGAACAGAAAACATGACAGGTACACTAGCTAGAAATACGATTTGGACTGGGTGAGGATAAATCGCAAGACACCTACCCTTCCAGATGGTGATGAGAGTTTTGAAAACAGAACCCAGCAACTCTGCTGTGATACAATTCGGTCGGTAGAGCATGAGACTATTAATCTCTAAGTTGTGGGTTCGAGCACCACGTTGGGCAACAGATTCCTGCATGGCAGGGGGTTGCACTAGATGACATGGGTGCAGGTGGTGTTGTGGTCTAAACCACTGAGCCTCTTGGGCTTGCCAATCAGAAGGTTGGTGGTTCGAATTCCCACGATGGGGTGAGCTCCCATTGCTCTGTTCCAGGTCCTGCCAACCTAGGAATTCGAAAGCACACCAGTGCAAGTAGATAAATAGGTACTGCTGTGGGGGGGAAGGTAAATGGCCTATCCGTGAGCTCTGGTTTCCATCACCGTGTCCCGTTGCACCAGAAGCAGTTTAGTCATGCTGGCCACATGACCCAGAAAGCTGTCTGTGGACAAACGCCAGCTCCCTCAGCCTGAAAGCGAGATGAGCGCCACAACCTCATAGTCACCTTTGACTAGACTGAACCATTCAGGGGTCCTTTACCTTTCTTTTCTTTTCTTTTTACTAAATGACCCTTGTGGTCCCTTTCAACTCTACAATTCTATGATATATTCATGGATCACATATGGGATCACACTGGGTACTGTGTGTCAACTGCATACTGATAAGAGGACCACACATTCCCCAGCTTTGCTCTAAAGCAGGGGTCAGCAAACTTTTTCAGCAGGGGGCTGGTCCACTGTCCCTCAGACCTTGTGGGGAGATGGACTATATTTTTGGGGGGGAATGAATGAATTATTATGCCCCACAAATAACCCAAAGATGCATTTTAAATAAAAGGACACATTCTACTCATGTAAAAACACCAGGCAGGCCCCACAAATAACCCAGAGATGCATTTTAAATAAAAGGACACATTCTACTCATGTAAAAACACGCTGATTCCTGGACCGTCCGCAGGGCGGATTTTGATTGGGCCAGATCTGCCCCCCTGGCCTTAGTTTGCCTTTTTTTGTTGTTTAGTCATTTAGTTGTGTCCGACTCTTCGTGACCCCATGGACCAGAGCACGCCAGGTACTCCTGTCTTCCACTGCCTCCCGCAGTTTGGTCAAACTTATGTTCATAGCTTTGAGAACACTGTCCAACCATCTCGTCCTCTGTCATCCCCTTCTCTTTGTGCCCTCCATCTTTCCCAACTTCAGGGTCTTTTCCAGGGAGTCTTCTCTTCTCATGAGGTGGCCAAAGTATTGGAGCCTCAGCTTCACGATCTGTCCTTCCAGTGAGCACCCAGGGCTGATTTCCTTCAGAATGGATAGGTTTGTTCTTCTTGCAGTCCAAGGGACTCTCAAGAGTCTCCTCCAGCACTATAATTCAAAAGCATCAATTGTTCGGCGATCAGCCTTCTTTATGGTCCAGCTCTCACTTCTATACATCACTACTGGGAAAACCATAGCTTTAACTATACGGACCTTTGTTGGCAAGGTGATGCCTCTACTTTTTAAGATGCTGTCTAGGTCTAGAGCATTGCACCCATGCTCTAAAGTAAACTCAGTTCAAATCCTTAATCTGATTCTCAGTAAACCTAATTTCCATTGTATGGTTCTGTTGTTTTGGGGCTTCCCAAAGGGGTCTGACAGGCCACTGAGAGAACAGGATGCTGAGTTAGGTGGCCCACTGCCCTGATCCAGTAGGCTATTCTTGTGTTCTTCTTTTCGTAACACACCTGTTGATCTTATGGTGAAAGGCGAGTAAGAAATCTTATAATTAAGTAGATAAAAAAGCCAAGCTGAAACCAAGTTCCAGATGTCCCGTTTTTCAACTGCTGCAAGAAACAGTTCTGAATTTTACCCCTTGGTGTCAATTGTGTCAATGTGAATTGGCAGTGGCATGATGGAAGGAACAAGTATTTAGCAATTTGACTCTGCATGCTTTGCTTCAAATACACAGTTTCAGTGAAAGCAGCACACTCCTTAGATTTCACTGCAGAGAATTTGACCGGCAAAGAAATTGGGAGGCTCTTGCCTTCTTTATAATTTAAATACAAATTAAGTTGCTAAAGTGAATCGGGAAAACAAATTTTTTAAAAATGGAGAAAAGTGCATTTATTTCTGTTTACTTATTATTTCCAGGCTATTTCTAATGGCATCATGTTGTCACTGAACAATTAATTCCATGTAATGAATAATCCATGATATAGAACTAATTTATTTCTGCTCAAGAGTATTTCGCCAGTCTTTTTACTTTCCTTTCCTTTTCTTTAAAAAAGCAGCAAATTAGGTTGTCCATTAAGTTTTTACAGTCAATATTTTATTCAATAGTAATTGTTGTGGTAATAATATTAATAATAATAAAAGGATGTTATTTCTGGAACTGATTGTCTTATTATTTTCCAACAGATATCTTAGTGATTAATTGGGTCTTAATAATTAATAGCCCGTAGACAAGTCTGAAGTTGCTTTTACTGGGGAAGAATTAAATGTCTCCGCTCTCCTGCCTTATGTATTAAATGAAGGAGAATCAGCCTTGCAATGATTTAATTGCAAGTAGCCGTAGTGCAGGGAGGGAAAAAGATCTGAGAAGCAAACTGGGCTGTTCCCGTCATGTGACAGGTTAGATGCTCTGGGAGCCAAATTATACTTGTGCCTTTAGTCCTGTCCTCCGGGACACCTGTGTAATCCCATTAACTTCAGTGAGCTTTTGCTCAGCTGTAATTAGCAGGAGCTGAATAAACAGTTCTGTTGCTGATGCACAAAAAGTAATAATATCCGGCTCATTTTGTCTTCGTGAAATGATGACTCTGCAGTGTTCACAAGAGGACCAAAGAGGCAGAACAGCTTATTTTAGCCACCAAAGTCAGCAGATACGGAGCATGGGGGAATGTATTTGTTGAGTAAGAAGCTGCCGTTTGATAGAACTGTGCACTCTTAGCAGCAGAACAGGCACAGATTATGTCTCACCTAATATTTAATGCCTCTCCAAAGTGCAGTAGATCAAGAGGCCATGCAAGCCAATATTATGTTATGAGGGTTTTTTCCAGCAAGAGTTAAAATATAAGCCAGGCTGTCTTTCTGCGTTCAGGTGATGGGCCATTAAGAGAACAAAGGCAACGGGCTCTGGGCTAGATAGCAAATTGCTGTGGCCCTTCCCTTAACTAGAATGGACAAAGCCTGAGCTGAGAGTCGAGATTATGCTGTCCCATCTGCAGAGCCACTGTCCCCACGCAGTGGCTACAGCTAAGGTGTCTGGCCAACTCGACTTTTAAGCATTGCTGGTGGACCAGAGTGGAAGCATCCAACCCATGGTCCGTCAGTGAGGCTCCATCCACTAGCAGATCCCCAATTGGCCAATTCAGACTGGAGATTCTGTGAAACTACTGAAGGCCGCATACAGCATACTATTAGAATGGGAGACGAAAGATGAAGAGGTAAAATCAGTTATGATTAAATGGGCACAAGATGTAGGTCACAACATTATGATAGAAGATTGGGTTAAATTATGGAAAACTGACTTAAAATTTACAGATTGTTCCCTATTGAAGGAGAATTACATGAAGATGATGTACAGATGGTATACAACACCAGTGCAGCTAGGGAAAATGTACAAAACCAGTTCAAATATATGTTGGAAGTGTAAGGAAAAGGAGGGGACATTTTATCATATGTGGTGGGATTGTAAGGTAATTTTAAAAATTTGGGAAATGATATACAACGAATTGAAGAAAATGTTCCATTTAACATTTGTTAAAAAACCCAAGGCAATTTTGTTGGAGATTGTAGGGAAAGACCTGCCAAAAAAGTTGAAAAACATCTTCATGTATGCGACAACGGCTGCAAGAGTTCTGGTAGCACAAGGATGGAAGACTGAAGAAACCCCAACTAAAGAATCATGGCAACATAAATTGACGGACTATGCAGAACTGGCAAAATTGACATATAAGCTACGGGACAAGGATAACTGTGACTTTAAGGATGAATGGGAACCCTTTACAAAGTATCTGAAGACGCAACAAAGCGAACTGGACTCCTTGGCAGGTTTTGAATAAACATTCACAAACTTTTTATTGATAATAATCAGCTAAATAGTATAATCAACTAAATAGCTAAATAATCAGACTGGAGATTCTGGTGGGTAATCCTGCCCTGCAAGGTGTGTGACTCGATAGATTTCCCAAAAGCCAGCCAGGCTGGTGTGTCCTGACTGTCAGTGATGCTAGTTGACTGGGCCGTCTTAAGCGTATCCGGCGTTGTGGTGCAAATATCTCTCCAGCGCCCCCCCCCCCGGATTCCCAGAGTTGTCAACCTTTCTAAAGGGGGGGACAACTTTGGTCTGGCTCGTTTACTTTGCGTGGTCCGATGCACGCTCGGCGCTGCACGTAAGTAAGAGGCGTCCAGATCACAGCCCAGACAGCCTCCCGTGAAGCCTCCCTCTAAGTGCCCGGTGCCCCTTACCTGCCCCTGTCCAGGAAAGTCCACATGACAGAAGGGCCAGCAAGGAGATCAGGTGGCTCGCCAGCTGTGCCATCCTCACTCGGTGCCAGGATTGCACAGCGCGCTTCCCTGCTCCGCTTGCAGTCTCCGCAGGGAGGCATGCAAGCAGCAATGCAGCCAAAGAGGGGCGGGAGAGACACACCCGCACCACCCCATGCCCGCTGCTGATTGCACCCGCCAGGTGCCCAGGCAGCCCCAGCAGGAGGGGACACAAAGGGGCATCCTGAGCCAAACACAGCATACTCCAATGGGTGGCTGAGAGGAGAGGAGCGGGCTGCCCCAGAGCAGGGAAGGGAGCGCACTCTGACTCTCCTTCCCAGACACTCAGCCTGTGGCACCCTCCAAAATCTGGCGCCCTGGCGCCCAGTGCCACTAACATCTATGGGTAAGACGGCCCCGGTAGCTGATCCACAAAGTGCTGCAACTACTGCCCACCCAGAAAAAAGGAGCAAGTGGCCATTACAGTGATGTGACCTAGAAGTATAGGTTATACATAGGGCTGCCTCTAAAGATTCGGAAACTTCAGCTAGTGCAGAATTCAGCGGCTGGGGTGCCCAAACTGTGCACATTAATAAATAACACTATTATAAATTATACATCATGCCACTCGTAATAAGGTACTGGATTTCAGAGGCTTCTTGGA